AAAGAAAAAGAGAGAGAAAACGAAGAGGTAGGAGGGGAGAGATAGAGCGCGAGAAAAGGAGAGAAAGAGAGGAGCCTTGCTTGTAATCGTCTTCACCGGGAAACGGACGACCCTGAGTAGGAACTCAAAAGATTAAGCCATCATCCTCATCAGGACCTTCTCCTCTCGACTATTTTTAAAAGTGCAAACAATTCTATTCAACGTGACGAATCGCTATCACGCGGACATCATCATTGCACAGCGACAATAATAATACAAATGGAGAATATAATTAAAAGTATCCTTCACGCTTCTTTTTCCCCGACGCGCGTAGATTATTCTACGGCACATAGAATACATAGAAATATTATTCTTCAAGAGTAAAAGTTTCGAAGCGCAACCGATGATCGATAATAAATTTCCGTATGATTGTATATATATATATATAAAGAAGGAAGAAGACGATGAAGAGGAAGAAGAAGAAAAAAATAATAAACGGTCGATCGGTTCGTTCTGGCTGTTCCTAACTCAATGACATTCACAAAGCTGACGCATAAAGAATCGAGCGTAGTCCGATAGCGATGCAGTTTGCACACGCATTAAAGCATCGCACGACTCGAGACACGCGCGCGCGCGCGCCTAGCATACGCTTTTTCACGTGCATACGCTCGGTTAAAGTGTGTTGTTTCGTATACTACTAGGACTTAATAAACTTTCACTGGCCTCTCACGCGGTTCCCTTTCTTCTCCCTCCGATGTGCTCGGCTTCCAAGAGCCATAAATTCGGTAACCTCCTCCGCGAGGCACCGCCTCCTCCTCCTCCTCCTCCTCCTCCTCCTTCTTCACCTCAGTGTCCCCGTCCTTGTTCGCTCCATTGGAATCCACAACCGCGAAATAAAGAAACCGATGAATTCTACTTCTTCTAATATATAAATAAATGCACCTCAAAGACTCCCCGGTATCCCCACTTCCGTTCCGTTCTCTCTCTCTCTCTCTCTTTCTCTCGCTTCTTCTCTCACCCGCGCAACTCGCGCGTGGGACGTTGCCCCATTAGCGAAGCAGATATAAGTGCTTGCGAGAACGTAGTCAATTTAACGAGGTTAAAAAAAGGAGAGAGAGAGAGAGAGAAAAAAAGAGATCCTCTCTCCCCTCTCACGCCTGATGGCAGAGGTTCGCGTACGGCTTCCCAGAAGACAGCCAGACCGCACGCGTTTGCGTAAAACTACTGGCGTACTGCCGTTCCTCCAATCACTCTCGCTTTTCACCTGGCCGTTTGACAAAGATTCTCGGGGAACGATCGTGAGATTAGATGTATATATATTCGATATATCGATGCGATATATTCGCTTCCTAAATATTCGAGGCAGCGTTAAATCAATCTCGGTTTTTGTACACTTCGTTCAACGAGGAGAAAGTTGAAACGGTCGAAGAGCTATGACGTTCTCTCCTCCGCGATATTTCCGTATCTGTGCAGAGGATCGCTCTTCTTTCGAAGAAGAATATATCAGACTGGCGATCACACAGAGAGAGAGAGAGAGAGAGATGATAGGCTGTTGCAAACTCTCACTTTTTACCTTCTGAAAAAGAAGAAGAAGGCGATCTCTCTCGTCGATCGGTTCGCATCCACCCGGTCCAAGATCGGTGTTAACGCACGATTAGTGGGTCAGTGTCAGTCAACGACATCGGTTCACTCCCAGGCCAGATTCAAAGTCAGGAAAGGAGGCTAACTATCGTGAGCCGAATGTCGCGCGCGGCGAAGCAGCACACGCCGGGGCCACTGGCCAATATTTGGGCCAATGTTAACGTTGGCCTGTATACCGATTGCCTAATACCACCGCCTCGATTCGAACCTGATAATCACTGCGGTGGCGGGAAGGAACTATTCTCGCGTATACACGAAACCATTCCATTACTCAACCTTCCAACGTAATGAATCTCGCGTTTCGTGAACGCGACCTTTCAAGGATCGTTTTCGCTCCTTCGTCCTCGCAGCCATCGATTCGTTCGCATCCAAGATTAAAAATCGACGCGTTTGGGGGAAAGGGAATTTTTCGTCTTCTCGTCGAAAAAAAAAAGAAAAACTGGCGAGAGTGGAAAACAGCTTGAGAGCAGCTTTCGAGAGTAATTTTTCATCATCGGTGAAACAACGCATGCACTATGGTGACTGATCGCAGCGGTGTCTACTACTACTTTCACTTTCAACATAGTAGTGAGCCTCGTCAAAAATATTATTTAATAACTAAGGGTGTAAGTCCATTCGAAAGTAAAAGTGATTTTTATATATATTCTCTCGGTTTTTTTATTTTTAAAAAATCGACTCCAATAATTAAATCGAGATGAAAGCAGGTGTTAACGGCGATGGGATTCGTGAGTAAAGTCAATTCGAGTTAAGCTTCCGTTTTCACTGGCGGAAGTGGATCAACGCCTCGCGCTCGTTCGGCATTCGGAAGCCGTTAATCCAATTTAATCGGAGACTTTCAAAATCTCGTTGTTGTCTCGATCTACTACTGGTTACTGGTAACCATTAGATTCTTCAGTAATGCGTGTAATCTCGAAGTAACAATTCTTCTTCGACGACTCCTCTCAACCGGTCAATTATCCATCGAGAAAATCTTTTTCCCCGAACGAGTTTTCGAATTAAAAGAATCCATGCTGATCCATCCACGAGTTGAAAAAGCGAGTGACAGAGACTCTCTCGGAAATACGCTCGCGGACAAGAGTGGCTCGCTCTTAATGTCCGTGCGCCTTGTGACCCGTGGTGCAAACTAAAACCCACCGGAGAAAGTTGCCGGATACTTTCTCGTAGCTCAGCTGCCTCCTTTGCACGTTGCAGTCGGTTAAATGGCCCCTCGTATCGATACGATCGTCCGAACCATGTCTCGAATTGACCATATTTACTAAAGTAAAAATGTTTACTACTTTAAGCTCAAAAACTTGAGGAAAGAGGAGTCATGAGATAGAAACTTGGGCGTTTTCACCGGTTGATAAATAAAATATCGTTCGAATATATATCAATGGAGATCGAGAATAATTCGATTGTGCGAGATCGGAAAAAATTTATCACGGGTCGAGAAAATCGTTTCTTAGAAAGTATGCGTGAAATGAAAAGTGGGAAAATTTGTTTGATTTCTTGCAATTAGAAAATATCGGCGAGCTTTGAAGTATTTTCTTCAACGTCAAGAAAGTTGTACGGAACGGCGGTAGACACGAGAAGTAATTTTATTCGCAAAAAAAAGAGAAAAAAAAAAAGAAATAATATCTTTCGTTTTTTGAGAAAAATCTAATTTAGATTTGGAATACAATTTTTTCCAAATTAAAAAGGAAAAATTAAATTTAAAAAAATTCACGTATCGCGTATGATTTTTGTTAAAAATGAAGAACATCGCCGAAAAAAAAAAAATTGTATTCCACGATTTTTCCATCTCGATAATCAAATACACTTAATAATAATTCCACAAAAAACGCACAAACGAAAAGTTTTTCAACATTTTCAACCAGCCACGAATTAATCGAATTTAAAACGAAATTCCCCCTTCCTCCCCTCCCCTTCCCCCTTGACTCCACCACTTCATCGCCACCCTTGCTCTGGACACCCTGTATACACTCGAAGGTTGGAGAGAGAGAGAGAGAGAAACGCTACCAGTAATATCGGGATGAATAGCGCGGATGCGCGGCAAGAATGGATCAAGGGACTGGGGGAAAAATATCGAACCATTCTTGGCCAGTCTTACGAGGCTCAAGGCATTCAGCCGCTTCGCGGGCCAGCGACTTGATTTACTCGTTCGAGGGAACGAACTCGCCCGCGCTTATACATATACATTGAAGAAAGGTATACCCGTTGCTCTATGTATAACCGAGCCATTATACTCGCAGGTACATCGTCGGTGCGCATAGTCGTCGTCGAGGAGGAAAATCTCTGGTCCTCCTACGCCCGTTCGTTAACTATTCATGCGCGCACCGCGTATAGCCCGCGGTCGGCCGTGATGAATTGGAAGTTACACGTGGTGCAAAAAGAAAAAAGAAAGAGAAAAAAAAGGAAAAAGAAAATTATTTAGCCGGCCGCCGTATATAGTCGCAATAAGTCATCCCCAGGTTTCGACCCGTTTCTGCTGGTTTGAGTTAAGGATCTCTCGGAGTTCGAAACGGATGACGATAACGAGGGAACATCGCTCCATCGCCGATTATCTCTTATCATCGTCCGTCAACGTGATTTCTTTTTTCGAATCAAATTCTTACACTTTGTTAACTTCTAAAATCTGATCTACCAGAGTATTTTATAGAAGAGGCGAGGGAAATCGGTTTCGAATTCGAAACGAGGGTGAGAAGGAAAAAATGGGGGAGGGGAATATTTTCGTGGATCTCGGAGGATGCAACCAAGCGTGACGTAGCTTTCGTGCTGGAAACTGTGTGACGTCACTCATTCGATGACGTGTGGTCAACCGCGGTCAATGCACCAGGCCGACGTTTCTTGCAGGGCACTATAATGCTCGGTTCACTGGCGTCGGGCTTGTGTGCGTTTGTTCATGTACACAGGGCTGCGCCGCGGTGCATGTACGCGCGTTACACCGCAAAATACCGGGTGTTCGTATAAAATTCTCTTCGCTTTGTGTACTGCTGGCTAGATCGAAAGAAACAGCAAGATTCAGAGAAGATTCGTGATCCTATTTATTTTTGCATCTACTTACTCTCTCTCTCTCTATCTCTTGTCTATCGGGACAAGTAAGTAAGGCTTCTCGCAAGAGGGACGGCTGTATTTCCATGTCAACCATGAAGAAGAGATCGGTTTTGAACGCGCAATCGTGGATGCATTAACGATTCATACACGGTATCGGTGGGTGTTGTTTGAAATTCCTGCAGCGTGCCATGCTTATGCCAACATCAAAAATTCATGCACGTCGTTGACTCTGCTACCCTATATCCCTGCTTAATGAAGGTGCGTTTATATTCCTTTCTCTCTGTTCGCGATTTATCGTAAATATAAATATCAAACGTATAAAGGGATAAACCTTTCGAAAATCGAAATTTTCAGGGAGACGAAAATTCCCTCTTTCTCGAAACCTTTCTCTTCTTTTTTTCATAGAATAATTAGAAAAAGACAATGGTTTGATGATCAATTATTGACGAGTCATCTTAAATATAAATCGAGGATCGAAGAGCTCGTTTTCGTTTCTTTCCTTTTTTTTTCCCCCTCGTAGGACAATGGCCTAATTATGCTTATATACGAGTTTCATTTTTTCAGTCTCATTGTCGTCTAATCGTTCGCAATCGTTGACAAAAATACGCGCCCACGTGAGAGACGACGCCTACACCCACGTTTCGTGCGAGTCTATAGGTGCGGATCGGACAGTAGTAGATGACGCGAGTTATCGGGCAAGTAGAATGGTCCGCAATATGGTCGGCCAAGTTCCGATAATCGATGATCGTGTGCGCGTGTACCGGATGCAGCAATTGTTTACGAAGTGAGGAGAAGGAAAATCACGATCGACGTCGCGTAACGTGTGAAAGACAAGAGTTCTGGCCGGTGAACGTTCGAGCTGCAATACCAGAGAATCATCTGCTGAGAGATGAGAGAATATCTGGAAAAAAAAAAAGGAAATGTAAGAAAGAGAGAGGGAGATGGAAAAACGAAGAACGAACGATCTTGAGTGAAAAAAGATGAAAGTTATTTGATTTATACTTGGCGATTCGATTCTGAATTGCGTGAGATAGGAATCTAGAGACAAAGAGAGGCTCGAGAATTCAGCAGAACAAATCTGTTGCGTAACGCACCGAACGGTTTTACTTTTAGCGTTGTCTTCAAACAAGGCATAATGGTTTCCTCTCGTTTAACCGTATCTTATCAAGATTCATGGAATTTCGCGGCAAGAACGATGCCTTTCGTCGATGCCTTGCCTCTGTCGAAAAATCGTGTAATGGTGTGGCTAGAAAGCATGTGTAACGAAAGGAGGTGTTACGCCGTTGCATAAGAGCGAAGGAAAGAAAAAAAAAAAAAAAAAAGAAAGAAAAAAACTATTATGGACTATTAATCCTTCAACGATTCCAAAGCCCTGCTACTAATATATCCTTCGTTAGCCAAAGAAATCCGTGTGTACGCCGTGTGAACGAACGACACACGCTTGTCTTCGTGCTTTCTAAAATCGTGCTCGCCTTCATACTTTGAACGGAATTAATTTTCCCGCGATCTTTGAAGATACGAATGCGCATGCTCGAAAGAGAACTGAAACAATATAGACAGACCACTTCATTTCGGGAATTATAAAATTATTGTACGATCATTCTCAATGCAATCTTCAATCTACAATGAAAAATAAAATTTCTCTGATAGCAATTCTTTCAGAATTTTACGCTCGAAATATAATATAAATATATATATATATATATCGAATGATACGAAACTTAAAACTTTCAAAACGGGATTCTACATTGAGAATTTACGTCAAAAATATCATCTTGTTCCTCTTAACCTAATATAATATCCATCTTCGTGAAAAACGATTCTCTGTGAGCGATAGTATCATCGAAAGTTGGCCAAGAGGATCGTTTTTAGTTTAAAAATGCTCGCCTATCGGAAAATAAGTACCTATACGCACCGTTCGAAACGAAATTTACGAACAGCCAGTTCAGCTGAACGTATACAGAAGCTGCGTCAGCTAATAGTAAACGTACAAGAGGACCGTGATCCATAAGGAAGAAAGTTGGGAAGAAGAGAGGCGAATGCCGGCGCTCCTCTTTTCTTTTTTTTCTTTTTTTTTTTTTTTTTTTTTCTTCCCTCTTTTGTCGTGCGAGAAGAGTGCTTTTCGTGAAATTCGTCCAAGAGAGTTCTCGCAGGAGAGACGGAAAGGGAGACGTGACTTTAGCCATAAGCCCGTAGGTAGGCCGCACAGAGCATGGACAAGCAAGTCGAGTTGAGAGGCGCGGACGGGCGGTCAGAGACCCCGCAGGGCCGGCGCAAACAGTACAGCATTACCCACTCGCTCGTTCTATCGCAACCTGGACCCAACAATGCTCAATAATCGTCCCTGTGATCGCGCCACCTTTTAACCGCCAACCTGGAAAAATTGTCTCCACTTTTTCCACCGGTTTCGTCCCCCTCTTTTCTTTCTTTTTTTTTTCCTACAGCTCGCGAAAATACCAAGAGCAGAGAGAGAGAGAGAGAGAGAGAGAGAGAGAGAGAGAGAGAGAAAGATCCATGCAATCTCGTTGTAGGTTTTTTTCTTTAGAAGATTGTGCGAATCAAAGTTGAGGACCTAGAAAATAGATGAGCGTATATGAATATGAATATGAATGATAGCGTATATGAATTAGAATTAAGAATTTATGAGTATTTGGAGATACATTGTTTGCAGTTTGTTGAATAATTTGAAGGTATCTTTTAATTTTGTTTACATAAAGATGTAAAAATAAAAAGCGAATCAAAATTGTGAAATCTTAATTGAAAATATATATATATATATATATATATATATATATATATATATGCGTGTGAGTGTGTATGTGGTAAAATAATAATTTAAAGAGATATTGAGAATTTATGAATAATTTGAAGATGTTTGAATTAATTTTGTTTACGTAAAGATGTATAAAAAGTTGATTATTCAATATGTTTTTAGTAAAGTGAAAAGAATATTAATGAAAATGTAAAACGAGAGTGTGAACTTCCGGTAATAAATTATTATTTTACTTATCTATTGCTAATGTTTCATAACAAGGAAACTTAATATCTTTTAACACTCGTAACTTTTTATATCGTAATGAGATGAAATTTTTATTTTATTAGCCTCTGATTAACCACTGTTTCTTAATACTTTCTACAGAAATGGATAAATTAAACTGTGAATTCCTATTTCAATATTTTCATATTTTGAAAAAAAACTTATTGCAATTATTTATACAAATAAATGAAGACTTAAGTTTTATCTCAAAAATCCAATAATTTAATTATTTCATGTTTTTTTTTAAATTTTAAAAAATTAATTAATATTCAATAACTAATTCAAATGTATCATGAATGAAAAAGCACATGCCAGTTGAATCTAATATTTAAAATTATATTCTATATATATATATATATATATATATATATATATATCTAAAATTATTAAGATCTTCATTTATTATATATTTTTATTATTATTAATTAATTATACTGCATATTAAATATAACATATGCATTAAATATATGTATAACAAACAAATAGCAGAAATAAAATAGTATAATTTATTTGAAATATTTAATTTACTTAAACATTTATTATAAAATGAATCTTTTAGAAAAAGATGTTCCTTTCTTTAAAAAAAAAAATATAAAAATAAAATCTCCAATTTTCCTTTTTCTAAATTTATAAAAATATGATATATTACTATTTTTTATTGGAATTCTCCACTTTATATGTATAAAGACTCTTTTAAGAATAATAAAGAGAAAAAACAAAATTGCCGGAAGATAATCTAGAATAGGTTGATAATCTACCGCGAGCGATGGATTTGACGATTTCGTTAATTTCACTTTTCATCGAACGAGAATTTTTTACTGTTCGCGATCAAGCACACAGAAACGAATGGGCGAGCGTATATGCACGAGACTTTCTCTGTAATTCGCTTTACGTCTCCTTGGAATTATGATTTCCGCGATTCGTTATAAATACATTCAACATGACGCTACATAATCATAACGCTTACCCATTTTACGCTAACTTTCTGTAACCAGAAACCGCGCAATGCTCTTAATTTCTTCGACTACTTTCTTCCTCTACCTGAATCTTTTTCTTTTCTTTTCGTTCCGGTGTAATTAACGAGCACAGAATTTTAAAGTTATAAAAATCAAAATGTCGACAAAAAAAAAGAATTGAAAGATATGCGAGTCATTAAAATAAAATATAAAATGCATCGTGGCGTATTATAATATAAACATAACGCAAGAAGACCTTCTAAAGCTACTTATTTATCTTATTGTATATGATTTCAAATTCACATATTTAATACATAAATGTAGGTCATTTCATACAGAGGCCAATAAAAACTTGCGAAATATCAAAATAAAAAGAGCCTAGCTTTACATGTAACGGCATTACATATATTCAACAAACTATACAGCTTCGGCTATAAAATTTGCGTTACTTGATTTCGAGCAGAAGATAGATGGGTGCGAAAGATATCCTAAAAAAAAAGAAAAGTTAAATATTGACTGGTTGCTAGGTTTAGCTTAAACGTAGAATCTTACGCTTCTATTTTAGTTCCAAGTAAAGGAATAAGCTGTTCGTTCGAATGTGTTTAGCTACGAATATAAACAATGTACCAAGAATACGTGCGCAATAGAAATCGAGATGGTAATGTTTCGATGGCATCCATAACGCGCAATACATGGAAACGTCTGGAAAAGTTTGGTAAAAGAATTGGGTCGTTGCTGATTCGTTCGACAGAGTACCAACACTTTTTCCATGAGTGACCGAAACTTTCAACGATGTCCTAGTCCGTCTCAAACTACGGTCAATGATCCCTTCTTGCCCCGATTTCACCAATTTCGCTTAAAAAAGAAAAAATGTCGTGCTATAACATCTACGTTAAATCGCTATATTTTCAATTGATATCTTACGAGACGACTAAAAATCCTTAGGGAAACTCTGTTACCGAAGACCATAGAATTATCAACTACGATGTTCTATACTTAATTAAATTGAAAGCACGAACGCTACGAACCTAACCTTAACGGTTTAATAACGGATGCGTAATTCGCCCTCTCAGAAGAATATTGTATAATATTAAACATAATGGTATTCACTCACCGATCGAGGATGCACCCGTGACATCTGGATCTAACAAGCTTGCAAAATTTCCTTCTATTTGATCGTTGATCGTTCTTCTTTTTCGGTTTAATGTTCACTTCAAGTCACCAACTGACAAATCACCCACTCACTGCACGCGCACCGTCCTCGTCGGAAAATTTTACTCAAAGTCACGATCGTTCTGTTACGACGTATTGTTTTTCACTCTTCGTACACATCCAGCAGAAAAAGATTTCGTGAAGTTCGTGAAATCGAAGCGAAAATCGATGGAGATGATCGTGAGCGTGCAAACGGCACTGTGTCCTTTACGATGTCACTCGATGTATGTTCTCGTCGTGTATCGTTCTGTTACGTTCCGGCGGTTTAGCCGGCACGTGGTCGCGTACGAAACACTTTCAGCTTGGTCGTCGAGAGAGAGAGAGCCCACGCGTCTCGTGTGCTTGTAATCGCGCGTTCGACTGAGCGGCCGAGTACTCCCGAACTCCCCGACTCTCGCTCGTGCCGCTCTTCCTGCTCGCGCTCGTCTCATTCTCTCTCATTCTTTCGCACGTCGTCTTCGATGCGTCGACTCTCTCTACCGCGAGCCTCCCCACTCTTTCCTTGTCGCTCCAAAAGGCCTTTTCGTGCATTTCTCTCAAATATTTCGCTCTTTGTCGATCCTGCCTTCTTGATATTCCTTCTTCGTTATTATTACAATTCTACTTTTTTCGGTTTTTAACTTTTTTTTTTCTTTTTCCTTTTATTTTATATTATTGCAAATATTGTAATTGTATTGTAATACGAATAAATAGTCGGTGATTCTAATTATTTGTCACATTATCACAGTCGTTTCTGACGAACGATCGTAACTCTTATTTCTTCTCGATTTATGCTTCATTTAAATACTTTCTCTGCTTTCTTTCGCGACGTGCGTAGTATTACGCCACTGTCAGTCCCGCTTAGGCATTTTCGATTAATCGTCACATCCTGTTTTACGTTCGTATTGTGTTTTGACGTGTTTTAACCTCACCTCCATGCGCTTTTCCTAACTACTTTCGTCCATTCTAAATTACGAAGAGAGATATTCTATGAAATCCGAACAGCTCATAATCGTCAAAAGAAAGGTGTCTCGTCCATCTTCGTTCTCGACACTCTCATTTTCTTCCAACTCGCTATCTCGGTACACTGAAACAGAGGATTTATTATCTGTTACGTCGTATAATGTCTTTTGAGGCAGGTTAGGGTGCTTAACTCAACATTAGTCGTTGAGGTCTACCCCCTACAGCGGCATTCTTCTGCATTCTGCACCGGTGAAATCGGTTGACGCACGATCAACCACCGCGGTAACAGTAAATCACTAACCGAAACATTAACTGTTGCAAACAGTAGAACGTCTTATTGCGTATTCGCCATTCGCGTTGAACGCACAACGATTAAGTTGACGCCGGTAAGTCAACTCGTATCGATCGAGTTTCGATATATTCAAACAGACGTTCTAGAGAAATCTCGAAAAAAGGGTAGACATATTGTTATATCGTTTCAAAGTCGAATCGAATTTTTAAGCAAACCATATATGGGTCAGAAGATCAAATCGATATTAATACGTTGTGAAGTTGATCGCATATACTAAAATTGTTTCGTAAATCATTCGTTCGACGTATATAAATATTATATATATTGTATGCGTTTATTAAAATCCGATAATTTCATTGATTTCAAGCATGTGTCATCGAAATAGTGAATTAAATTCATTTTTATGTACGTTAAAATTTTTTGGGAATTAGTTAATAGAAATTTACTAAAAAAAAATCGAAATAAATTGAATCTCAACGATCGATAGCACATACAGCATTTTAGGTTTCATGCACAAGCAGATGTCCGCGATACAAATGAACGAGTTCTGCCATTCTTTATTTTTCCCCTTTCAGGTTGGAAACGATAAAGATTGATAGCGGTAATCTACAGATGTGCCATAGTAGAATCACGAAACGGTGGAATAATCTCCATAGACGATTCCATCTACCTGAATGTTAAGATTTATGCATCTAATATGACCGGTATTAATTCATAAATCCGGCAGGTATTACCATCTACGAAACTCGCGATTCATAAATCCCAAGATTTATGCGCGGCAATACTAAGCACGAGATGGAAATGCTCGCATGGCCCGCTCGCTTGCGATATGTGCAGTTAAATTAACCTTGAAACGATTTGGTTGCTCGGATAAAATTGCAAATCTTTTGTCACTCGGTTTTAACAGTGGTCGTTATTAAATATTCCTTGTTCAAAGTGGTCAACGTAGATATCGAATACGCGTAAAATCGCAAAAAAGATTTCTCCACGAGTGCTTCGAAACGCGAAGGAACTGTTGTGCAGTACGATTAAAATTTTTTGGCCGGTTGTGCGCGCATTGGGCCGTACTCGTTCCCTAACGGACCAATATAGTATATTTGAAAAGAAAAAGGAAAAAAAAAGAGATATAAAAAATTTGCAATTCCACCACTGTGTGACATCAGAGGCGAAGATCTTCGACCGGAGGAGGAGATGGAGGTCGTTGCTAGAGGAGGAGGTGGTGGAGAAAGAGAAAGAGGAGGTGGAGGAGGCACACGGGTTCGCTTTTGCCTGAGCGTACCCGTTCGTTCACCCTAGCGGGGGCACCAACCTGGCTTTACTTCAGTTACACGCCGAGAGAGCCGGCGCTGTATATAGGTATATAATACATTCTCGCGTGTACTTACACCTAGTATAGGTAGGTATACGGAGTGTACAGAGAGTGTCCCGGTCGAGCATGATGCGGTTCCACGGCCCTTTACGAGCGAGGCGGGGTACCGACTTGCCCCGTTCTCCAAAGAGAAAGATGGAACACGGTATGAGAGAAAGGGACAGGGGGCAAGCCCTTGTGTTCGATCGCTTTCGACGAGCCACGGATCGTACTTTAAAAGAAATTTTATACTCTGATGTAGAGATTATGATAGGAACGAATGTAGGCTAAATTTATTCATCGTTAAAAATTTTTAGTGATCCTATTTTTTTAATTTATGAATTAGGATTGAATGGAAATTTATTTATAAATATATATATTTTTTATATAAATATATATACTATATATGAATGTATATACATATATTTCTTTAATGCTAATTTTTTCGATACTATGAATCGTGATTTGCATTACTCGGCGTGCCAAGGGGTTTTTGACCTGACACGTAGTAATTCCAAAATGCTGACTATTCATAATAATGACGCTTATTTACAAGAGGATAGCTAGTATATTATTATATATTGTAATTCATTATGCTTTCATTCTACTATGATATTTAAGAATTTAAAAATCGCATTATTTTAAAATATAAAAAGTATTATGATTCTTTATTTATTTTCATATGTTCTTAATTTTTTAATGATAAAATAAACCTATATTTTATTGCTAATTTTTAAAATATAAACACAATTATTTTTAAAAATAAACATTAATTTTCCTTTTTTAAAAAAGCTAAATTAAAATTAAAATTAAATAACAACTACAATATTTTAATTAAGAATAACGACCAGTATGTGTGCTGACCATTCTAATTGATACTGGATCTGTCACTGTATCTGTTGGACTGGAAGTTTGTTGTTGATGTGAGTAGCTCACTTCCATATCAATTTCGTCTAATTCTTCTTCTTCTTCTTCATGGGTATCTGATTCTTCTTCTTCTTCTCCTTCACCTTCTTCTTCTTCTTCTTCTTCTTCTTCCTCTTCTGATCCTCTAAACTATGCACAATTACATTCATAAATTATATAATAATTTTATTTAAAACGACAGATAATAAAAAAACTTAATAATATCGAAAACTAATTTATCATAAAAGTTTTATTTAAAAATAAAAAAAGATTTGCTTTCATTTGCTGCATGTTATTTGACAGTCGGTAATAGCGTTATTAAATGATAACCACAAATGATAAGCAATTTAACAACTTTGATTTTATTTATGTTTATTTTTATTTTTATTTTGTCAATATTAATTAATATGAAGAAACTATAAAAATAAAATGAAATTATTAAATAATGGAATATATTGTAATGTGATATATGCTAGAAAAAAGTGAGGTTAACTTACGTCACTAACTGTCTTTCCTATGGGGATATGATCATAACCTTGTACCCGAACATGTTCTCTCTAAAGAAAAAAATAAAGATAAAAGTATAATCAAAGTAATCAAACAATTTGATATTTATATATAGATAATACTTATCGAATTGTGTACTATACTTACCCACGCTTGATGTTCTGCTTCAAGTTGAACTACCTCACTTTCATCATCACAAGGTCTATCGGCATTAAACCACAAAGGATCTGTTGCTCTAGGTTGTAAATTTGGCCATAATGGCATAATCGACATTTTGAAAATCTTGTCAAAATTTATTAAAAACAATTAATAATTTAGCACTCAAATTATCAGAAGTACACAAATTATTTACACATGCGCACAAACATGTTTGATTTTTGGCGCTTGTAATTTCATATTCAAATATTGTTAGATGTTTAAGAAAGCAGTATATTTATCTATGTACAGGAAAATAATAAATATTTCCATAATTTCATAAGATTAGATTTTTATATAATTTTTTCAATATTTTTATATATTTTAGTTATTTTAACTTTATGATTTTATTTTATAACCTCACAATATTTCAAATATAAAACATGTATGGCGCGTACTTATTGCGCCATCTATTGTAGAATATAAATAATTATGTTACTACTCTAGTGTCACGTGTTTACCCACTGAAAACCATTAATCCTTGTCTTCGTTATGTTTCATCTACGGCGATGAAGGAAACCGTGAATGTTACGTACAGTTCATTAATGGGTCTCTAAGAGATTGCTTGCGCGTTCTCGCAGAGAAATCTGCGAAAGTGTCTATTTATTTCATTATAATCGCATTCAAGTATTTTTACGAAGAGAAAACATTTTGTACAACATAACCTCGATCATCTAATAAAGGTAAATTTAAGAATTGTTAATATTTTGTTTATCAAATTAGAACAATCTGATGTAATTAACATATATAGTATAATTCTTTTCAATATTTAATTTAAAATTTTCATTTATATATGTAATAAATTTTTAAATATATGATATAAATTAAATAGGAATGTTTCACATTGACAGGTATATTTACATTACTAGAATGCAGTAAGAAAGTATCATATAATCAAACATTCATATATTTTAGTGTTAATATAATTTTTAATCGTGTTTCCCTTTCTAAAGTCTGATAATAATACGTTAATTTCTCCACTTTTATTTTCAATTTTTATTAAATGATAACATTTCAATTTCGTTTCTTTTAAGTTTATATAAATGACATACATTTTAGTGATAGTTCGAAAAGATAAAAAGTGAATGTATGACTTGAATTCTCCAATCTCTTTGAGAATGTTGGTTGAATTCATGCAACTTATATTTTATCTATTTATATTTTATATTTTATCTAAATTACGATTTGAAACAAAATATTTTTTTTCATAAAATAAAAAATTATCGAAAAATTTAATATTAATATTTGTATTTATATTTTAATATTTATCGCTGAAATTAATTTTCGTTTTGAAATCTCGGCATTACTATGCCATGTGTTAGTTAATCGTAATTAGCTATTCACAATACCTCATCTATCCAATTGAAACCGTGCACTCTCGATTGACTTCAATTTTATATTTCAATATATTTAATAAATTATTAAAATTTATATATTGTTAAACGAATATCTCACTTTTTATGGTGTCATTTGAAATTTCATTTTTTGCTTCTTATTAGGCGATGTACCATTGCTCTTTAATGGAATAAATCGATAATCGAAACATCTTTTACCGGGAAAATTATAACGCATATTCCTTCAATGGAATCTTGGTATTTCAATATAAGGATTCCAATGGAACATCGTATATTCAACAGTTCATTGGCGTAAAAATTCACGATTTTTTTTTCTATTTATTTTTTTTTTTTTTTTTTTTAGATGGAATATTTAAATTTTTTTTTCTTTTTATTATATTCATACACATGAACATAAAAATTATTTTCTATTTATTAGATGTAGTACGTTCCTACTGTATTTCCTGTTTTCAATATTGCTTATCCCTATCATTCGCTCTAACCACTTATGGTTTCCGCGATGAAATTGTTAACTTGTCTGTCATATTATTATAAAATCGCTCTCGAAAATAAGGGGACATTTATATCATGTTCAATATAATTTGACCAACACTATTACATTTCATATGATAGAATTTCTATGCTTTTTCCTGTCATCGATGTTGTTGAAAACAATCAAGCTCGTTTTCTTGATACATTTAAAGATATCGAAATATTAAATATAATTACCCAATACATATTAAATATTACACATATTATGGATTTTTTAAAAAATTTATAAAATAATATTCTTATTATCATACAAAATGCCATAAAAAGAAACATTAAATCAAACATCTTTTTGATAAAATTCAATCAATATGTTTATAAACACTATGTACTATGTAATAAAAGATGATATAATAATTAATATAAAGATAACTATATTTAATTGATAAAATAATAAGATAAAAAAAGAATCACTATCGGATGAATTAATATCTTAATTCATTTTAATTGAGAACATTGATCATTGCAGAACATTTTTGTTCTTTTTTTATTTAATTTATTTTTTATTATATATAATTTAAAATAATATTCGCTTCTGTTATTAATAAAATTATATAAATTATAAACTATTACACACAATTCCTCACCCAATGACATTTTTATCTCAATGATAAATAGTTACGATATTTCTTTCTACGTGTTCTAAAAACTGCATAATAAATTCATTTCCGGTATATTAATAATATATGTATTTTTGTGAATAAGTGAATATATACATTGTTCAAACAAAATTATTATAAATATCTTAGATAAAATATCATTTATCGAAGACATATGATTAACATTTATAAAATAAGATGCGTTTTGTGACTCGTTTTTATGGATTATTATTTACAGTGCAAAACATATTATATTTCCTTTTCAACAAGAAGTGTAATTTTCATGATGGATTATATTTCAAAGCATTCTCTAGTTAAATATCTACGATTATTGTTTAATGAAAAATATAATTCTACAATTAAAAAAATCTCTGATGCACCTGTAATCGCAAATAAGATAAGACTGTTGCATTTTTATATGTAAATATTTTTTTTCGCTTCTTATGAAAATATGCGTATCAGTTAAATACTGTTTCTTCAACTTTCTTGAAGAAAGCTTTTTTACAATTAATTTATTTCAATAATTTTATTAAGATATATTATAAGATATAATATATAATAAAATAATATAATAAATAATGTAATAAAAATATAATAAATATAATAAATGTTAATAAAATAATATAATATAAATAAAATAGAATATAAATTAAATAGAATAAAAACTAAATTGATGATTTTTTTTCAACATATTAATTCAACATATTTATGATTAAATGATGAAAGAAAGTATATATTAATTATAAAATTATTTTACATATTTTAAAGAATTGAAAATTGGATTATAAAAATCCAATTTGGATCATTATAAATCCTATGTTTGTGCAACCAGTTAGAATAGAATGTTAGCTGCTAGATTTACATGAGACCGTTGAAACTATCTCGAAGAAATCTACTTTAGAAAGTACGCTGACTCGTTTTTTTCATTCAGTTCCTTTGTTCATGTTGTCTGATTGCTACTTATGAACTCGTTTCTTCTTATACTTTTGTTTCTGGTCGTTTATAGCCTAGGAAGCAGCCGAAAAAGAACAAATGATTTTACAAAAATCATATATATTAATTAAGAATATCGTTGATTGATTTAGAAATAGCTCATTTATTCACGAATGAACGCGCATGGTTTATCAATTTTCTCTCAATAGTTATATAATATTGCTTTCTAAGAAGAAAATAATTTGACATCAAATTAAAGTATTGTCTGTTTCTTTTTAAATGAATTAATGAATAATGAAATTTCAGATATAATATAATTGGTAATATGGAATATATAATGATAGTTTTATCGATATAAATGTTTGACGTTTTAGGTATATCGATTGTATCGCGTAATGCGGTAAATATTCTCACTATAAAGTCGAGTTTAGCACTCAAGCAACAGGTGTTCTTTTCACGTGGAATTCTGTTTCACTTTGAATCAATTTATGATGATAAAAAAAGTTTACCGTTAAAAATTCATCATTTCCATTTTCTTTTCAATCAGTTTATTACTGTTTGAATGATAATTCGATAGATATCTTTACTGCATATATCAAAATGTAGAAATTGCGACGTGCTTTATTCTCAATATTAATTATTTCAACCTTCAATTTAATGATATATTACATTTTCGAATATATAAAAAAAATGGTCTTTTTGATAGTAGTAGTACATTTCTTTGTAATGTGAAAAAGGTAATAATTATTTTATCTTTTCGTGATTACAATGATTTTCAAAATATACATATATATGTTATTTGTAAAGCGAAATAATAACAATTTTAAAATATTTTCAAAAAATTATTACTATTCTGCCGTTATTAAACAAATTATTCATATCATGCAAATATTTTTTGTTTAGTTTAAAAATTTTGCATTCTTTTCATTTTTATTTACAGATGTCCCATAACCATATGGCGCATATGATGAATGCAACGAATGGGCATTCAGCACATGGTATTCACGCATCTCATCAAGCTATAGATCATTTAAATATGCATGGAAATATGCACAATTCTATGGATCATGCTAATATGGATCATGGAAGTCATCTTACTTCTGATACGAACTCATGTGCCAGTATGGGAATGCACGGTATGTCAACGGTACGTATCATCAAAATTAAAATTCTGAAGTTGATTATGATACAATAATTATGTTTATAGATGTGGTTCCATGGAGGATACTGTGAACACGTATTATTCGAATCGTGGAAAATCACATCAATCAGTGGCCTTATAGGATCTATGGTCGGTATTATGATCATGGCTGCACTTTACGAAGGTTTGAAATATTACCGAGAATATTTGTTTTGGAAAATGTATAATTCTCTTCAATATAGAAGTGTCACGATGCCCCAAGAAAAAAATGTCGTAGCCGAGGATAACAGGGTTGTTCAGTAAGTATGATGTATTACTTTTAATTATAATTAAACATTTTTGAAAATTTATAATTATAATAAATGGTAATTCAATACTTTATATTTGAATACACAAGGAGTTATTCTATTTGATTTTATTTTTTTAGTATGGTTGGAGAAGTAATACACAAACAACCGTAAGTAAATGAGGAATGAATTTTTTTTGGTTTTGAGGTTGCTTCTTTGTGAAAGTGCATTTTGTTTTTTTCTAGTTTTTTGTACAGAGGGATATATGAATTAAAAAAGTTATAATTTTTCTTCTAATATTGACTTATGATTTCATTTCAACTATATGTTAAATATTTAGCATGACAAATTAATATTATACATATATTTTTTTGATATTTAAAAATTAATCCATTTCATATAAATTTGTGCAGGCCCACAATGTTATCATGGATGCACACGTTTCAAACGTGCTTACACATTGTGCAAATCGTGCTGTCATATTTCCTTATGCTGATCTTCATGACTTACAATGTCTGGTTATGTTTTGCTGTAGTACTTGGTGCAGCAATTGGTTACTTTTTATTTGGATGGAAAAAATCTGTTATCGTGGATGTTACAGAACATTGTCATTAGTTATTTATGTATTTAAAATACATTGTGTTTTTACAACAAAAATGTACATCAATGTACATTGCTGAAAAGTTCATTCTAATTGAAAGAACTTCGAAATAATTACATGTAGTATATGTGTGCAGGAAATATAATTATTCTAAATTCGTATTTACAGAAATATATAAAGAAAATTGTCTCAATTTAAATTTATTCTTATGCATAATTATTTTATGCATACAGAATGCAATTTTTAGTTACTCATTAAAAAAGATAAAATGGCTAAATTATTATTGCATAAAAAATATCTATAAAATGCAAATTTGTATACAAAATATCTATAAAATGCAAATACTGGAAGATTAAATCTTTGATCTAGATAGCTATAGCGCACTTAATTTGTAAATATTGTTAAAAAGTTTAAATGAAAAGTATCATAAGATATGCACACACTTTTTTCCAAACTTTTATATGATAACCTTTAATTTTTTATTATAATATATTTTATAAATATCTTCTTCTCGATTAACCTTTTAATGTTTGAAAAAAAGTGTGCTGTGATGTCTTGAATATTGCATACATAATGTATTGTTATTATATAACGTTATCAACGATTGTATTATTTAAAATTAATCTATAAACTACTGTTATTTGTAAAATATAAGAAATTATCACATAAAATATAAAAAAAAAAACATTTCCAGTATATTTTATCACTTTTAAACAAGCACGAAATTTTTTTCTAAAAGATCAATTTTTGAGATTATAAAATTTATAAAATATAGATATAAATTAAGATCTATAATAAAAATACATGATAAAACTATTAACTGCCACTTAGTAAATATAAAATAAATATAATATTGTACAATACATGCAATATATATTGTACAGATATTTTTATAAAATTATTGATGAATATAGTATTGATGATCTAAAATGTATTCCATTAATAGAACTGATCTTGAATATTACAAATTGATGAAATATCATTTTGATATGGTTAAATTTTATATATAGTGTGCACTTGAACCAACAGATTATTGAATAAGAAATCAGAAATTTATATATCCCACAGCTATACAAAAAGCACCAGCATGCATGTCACATTTATAATTAATGCAAGCCTTTTTATTAAAAATAATCCTTAAAAATTATGATGTTATATATTATTTATTTTGTGTATGTAAAGCATCACTAAAGTATTAGGTAGCTTTTAAATAAGTTACAGTGCTTTAGAAATGCGTTCATACCTTTTATACGTACAAGGTTGTACAAAAAGCTTTATTTGATGTATCTATAATACTATTCATTTTGTAGGAAAATCTTTAAACATCGACTGCAGAACATTCCAAGAGCAGCAGAGTATGTTTTATAATATAGATATTTCAAAATCATATATATAAAGATGATTCAGAAGATTTTGTCATAAATATATATTACTACCACTGCTCTTAGTTTGTGCTGCAAAGATAAGGCAAATTTAGATTACAAAGCTAAATTACATTTTATATCTATTCCTTATTTATAAAGCAGTTGATGATCGTGATTATTACTATTATTATTTTATCACAAGCCAATGGTGTACGAAATACTTAAAATACTGTTTGTAGCTCGCGAACTGCACAAAGCGTGATACGAGTAGGACGTTCAATTTGACCTTACAGTTTACAGTTGTATTCTGGAAATATTAACCATAAAATATTACTTTTTTCCGCGTAAATATAGTTTTAATTTGCATATTTTAACGAAACTGAAAAATATTTGTAAAAACAAATAAAATCGTATGAATTTAATTTATAAAAATATAAATATGTTCATTGGCAACAGAAGAAACACATAATGAGCAACAAATAAAAAAATACTTTTATCGTTAAAATTCACCTTATTACGAGGAAAGTATTGCAGATGGGCAAGAAATCTCTTCAAATAATTTTGTTAGACCTAGAAGAAAAAGTATGTTACCAGCAAAATTGGTACTATAATGATATTAAATAGTTTCATCTTCATTGTCAATTCATGATCATATAATCATGTATTTGAATATTCCAAATATTTTGTAATTATGTTGCCAATGGTCTTGATTTAATTTTAAAGGATTAAGTTCAAATTATTTAAACAGAAATAAGTATTATTTAGGTCAATGAAAACAATAAAATTCATATATAATGTAATGTCCTTATATATCCTAAATACAGTAATCATTGTTTATAAGTGTTGGTACAATTCGCATATAGTATACTCCTTCCACATATAAACAAATTTTATATGTTTATTCCAGAACCTCCATTTATGCACCACAAAAATTATTCATTTCAATTAGATTATGATTGTGAATCTTCAGAAATGTTTCATGCATTATGTTATGAAAACATAAAAAATATTTAAAATCTTATATCTGTAACCTACTCAGCACCAGACACAGGCATACAACAACTTGAACGATGAGGAGATTGTTGTTTGGAAAGATCAACAGTATCTTCTACTAATGGTCTTTCTAATCTAGCTTCAAGTTGTGCCCAAGCAGCAACAGCTGCACCAAATGCTGCTTCAACATTGGTTGCATCTTTTGCAGATGTTTCTACTAGAGGAGGATCTCCATTTTCTGCACACCAAGCTTGAGCTTCTTCTGTGGAAACTTGTTTCTCAGAATCTGGAACATCCACCTATAAAAATTATTTTCATAAATATTATTAGTATTATTTTTTTCTTCCTTTATCAGAATTCCTGCTTACTTTATTTCCAACAACTATAAATGGAAATGTTGATCCTTCTTGAACATCAGCATAATAAAGAAATTCAGATCTCCAAAGTGCTAAATTTTTGAAGCTTGTTCTATCATCCACAGCATAAGTTAAAAGGCAAATATCAGAGCCTCTATAAAATGGAGTTCTAAGAGTCTTGAATCTTTCTTGTCCAGCTGTATCCCATATTTGCAATGTATATGCTTCTCCATTAATTTCAATATCCTTGTTTAGAAATTCTACTCCAATTGTATGAAAACTATGTTCATCAAAGTGATTTGATACAAATCTATTCATAAGACAGGATTTTCCAACACCACCATCACCCAAAATTACCACTTTTAAAAGTGTAGATCTTTGGGAATTACGATTTTGTAGATTACCACCTCTAAGTGTACCTACTATAGCTGAATTGTTTCCTGACATCTTTTATTTTTTTTTTTTTTTATTATTTTAAAATAACAAAGAAACTATATATTGAAAAATATGATATATATTTATATTCTTCATATATATAATTATTTTCAATACTAAATATATAAATTCTTCATTCGTAAAACATCGAATGTATTGGAGATCCTTTGTCAATGTAGTAATCAGCTGATTCTGATATTAAATAAGACAATCCACTTTTTTTATATTATATACATTTTAAGCCAACAGCATATGCTCACTCGGGGTTTATAACTTTATATAATTCACACAATAAACAATTATATTATTTAAAACGCTTTAGTATTATAATTTTCGTTTCGCGATAAAGCATAACCTTTTCATTTTATAGTGATGTTAATAGAACTTTAATATCAATTTAAATAGGATTCATATTATTTTAACGAATGAAATTGTAATTTTCAATTTCACAAGAGCCATGTACCTTATCTTCTTTGATGTTAACTTAATTATTCGAGCAAAGTCGCAATACCTTGAAAAGATGCCTTTTGGTACTGACTCATAGCCATCACCGAATAAAATTGCAATTTTCTCAAATAAATATATATCTTATGTTCACTCCAAAACATTTGGCAATAATAAAAATCATGAACAATTTTCCAATGTTGAAGAGCTAAAAAGTATTATTGCTTCTGAACATTTTTCTTGCGCGCAAAGTATTTGACACTTTGCAGACGACAAAAGAAACGCCCATGTTGGATATTAAACATATAGGATGAATATGGCTACCAGAAATTATAAATAATGTTAATCCTATGCATATACTGAACGATATTACACTTATATATCAACTAACAATAAATTATATAAGAACTAATAATAAATAAAATAATAATAGTTGCATGTGTATTATTATAATTTATGCCAAGAATTAATATATATAATCTTGATTCTATTAATATATGTGTGATGATTAAAATGTTTTAAAACTACTAGTATATCACAATTAAATATTTTCTTTTTTTAACTAAACACTAATTAAATTACAAAAATTATTTCAATTTTAATTTAATAAACTAAATAATATTGTAATATTATTCAATATAATAATATCGACGAATGTTACTAAAATAAAAAAAAATAAAATTCATAGATTATTATATAAAAATTATTGTATATTGTAATTATAAAAATCTTATAATTGTATATAATTTTTCCATTTTTAGATATTATAATTTAAATTATGTTTATCGTATGACCAATAGGTGGTACTACAGTGCTTGAAAAATGCTTTTTTATGCATAGATGTCGTTTTATAAGAAATGTTAGTGTTTTAATAAAAGTTGAAATTTTACGTAAAAGTTAAAAAAAAGTGAAAGAAAGTATAAAAAAAAGTATTATTTTCATATTTTTTCGGTAATTTTCATAATTATATAAATAAACATTAAAATTTTATTACATTGAACAAAAATTTGAAATTGCAAAAACATTTTTACTTAGTTTTAAACATTATACATCGTCTTTCATAAATTTATTTTATATTTTTTATTCATTTAATATAATATTTCAGATGATATAATATTTGTGGAAAATGGCAAATCCTCCTTCAAGTGTTGGCCAATCTTATTTTTGGGGTTCAGGAGTTTCTCAACCACAAAATATGGGATATTATTCTGTACCACCCCCAAATTTTCCACCTCCAAACTTCAGACAACCACCACCTTCTTATAACATGCCAGTTTCTACATTGTCTGAAAATAAAACTGGAAATTATGCTTCTTCGTATCATTCCATGGGAACATGCTATCAAAATGAAATTTCAAATGCTTATCATGATGTTTCTTATCAAACTCAAACAGAATTACAATGTAACAATCAAAGTTATAATTTATCTAACTATTCTCAATCAATAAGTGGAAATTTTAATACAAATTGGGATGAAAGGAATATATATCATAATAATGATAATACACAATGGAAATCAAATAATTATTCTTCAGATTGGAATAAATCACAGAATACAAAGGAATCTTGGTATGAAACAAATAAAATAGAAGATGATAGAAAATCTATGTATGCAAAGTTTAATAGTTCCCCCAAAAATAGAAGATTTGAATGGAGATATAGAGAAAAAGAAGTTTCTAATAATTATTCAATTAATAAAAGACGTTCTAGAAGTCCTGAAAATAGATCAAGAGAAAGTAGATCAAGTAGATCACCATATAGATCAAGACATGATTATCAAAGAGATAAATATTCAAAATATGTTAAAAATAGATCGATTTCTAGAGAACGTTTACATTATGAAGAAGATTCTGATAGAAGATCATCATATAGAAGAAATAATTCATATGTATCACACTCTCAAAGATCTTATACAAATTATAGAAGTAGGAAAAGATCAAGATCTCAAGAATCTTATTCATCTAGAACTATTAGTCCTAATAATAATCCTGTCATTAATAGGGATAGAACTGAAAGAGAATTACTTCTAGAAAAATATAGGTAATATATATTTTTTAAAATATATGTATATACATAAATATTTAGATTCAATTCTTTTTGTTTTACATTTCAAGACAAGATTATTGTGCAACAAGCAAAGATATGGAAAGAAAAATGGATGAATTATCTGCAATGGGACCTGAAGGTATCATGGAAAATGCTAGAAAAGTATGGACACGTACTGCACCAGCAGATTTGTATTATACTAGAGATGAAAATAATCCAAAAATAATGAGAGGTACACAGAAATTACATGAGTTATGTGAATTATTTAAAAAAATATTATTAGATAGAGCTGCAGCTGCAAGAGCTTTACAGGTATATTTCTCTTAATGTGATAAAAAAAATTTGTGTACATATTTAAAAATATTTTCATTTTTTTATTATGTAGCCTCCTTATGAACCACCACCAAGAAAAACTAGAGCTCGTTTATGCAAACATAAATCTGAAGCTTGTAGTAGTTCTTCTTCTGATAGTGATAGTTCAATGGATGAAGATGATAGAACAATGGAAGAATTAATGGCAAAAAAACAACATCCACAAAGATTACATCCTGAAATGTGGTTTAATGATCCTGGAGAAGTAAGTATTTGTCCTAAATAATTTGATAATATTATAAGTTAAATTAAAATAAAATATTCATTATTATAGATGAATGATGGACCATTGTGTAGGTGTAGTGCAAAATCAAGAAGATCTGGTATTAGGCATGGAATTTATGCTGGAGAAGGTGCGATAAATAAATGCGATTTAAATTCCAATAATGCTGATAAATTATATCATTATCGAATAACAATTAGTCCGCCAACAAATTTTCTTACCAAAACACCGACAATTATTAAGCACGATGAACATGAATTTATATTTGAAGGATTTTCGATGCTTTCACATTTTCCTCTCGTAAAATTGCCAACTTGTAAAGTTATAAGATTTAACATTGAATATACAATTCTTTATATAGATGAAAAGTTGCCCGAAAATTTTATCATTCGAGAATTGGATTTTTTTCGTAAGTATTATTTTATTATATATCATTTAATGTTTTTTAATTTTACAAAAAATTATTCTTTTCAGAAACTTATTTATTCAAGGAAGTATTGGAACTTATAGATTTTGATTTACAAGCCGCACAAAATAAATCTGGTTGTGGGCAATTTCATTTTATGCCAAGATTTGTGCGAGATTTAGCCGATAATGGACAAGAAATATTATCTATGAATGAGGTTTTAAATTATTTAATAAAAAGTAGTAAATTATTAATAGATCCAGATGATCTGCCTAGATTGGTAGAAATGCCACAATATAAATGGCAAAATTTTGCTGATGAAGTAAAGGGTATGATTGTTACATTTCCTGGAAAGAAACCATGCAGTGTCCGTGTAGATCAATTAGATAGAAATCAAACTGATCAACCACCTGGTGTAATTGTCTATCCTGAAATTGTACATTTTGGAATTAGACCACCACAACTTAGTTATGCAGGAAATGCAGAGTAAATATTTTTTTAAATATTATTTATGAAATTATTTTTTTTAATAAAAAACAATTTTTAAATTGTTTTTATTTATTTCAGTTATCAAAAAGCATGGAGAGATTATGTAAAATTTCGCCATTTATTAGCTAACATGCCAAAACCATCATTTGAAGATAAAAGAAAATTAGAAGCAAAAGAGAATAAACTCCAAGAATTAAGAACTCAAAGTAAAATGAAACGCGATGTTACCGTAGATGTTAGTTCTGAAGGATTTTATAGAACTGGAATAATGTGCGATATAGTACAACATGCAATGTTAATTCCTGTACTTGTTTGTCATTTAAGATTTCATAAATCTTTAGATAACTTAGAACGTACTTTAGGCTATGAATTTAAAAATAGATATCTTCTTCAATTAGCATTGACACATCCTAGTTATCGTGAAAATTTTGGTACAAATCCTGATCATGCAAGGAATTCTTTGACTAATTGTGGAATAAGACAACCTGAATATGGTGATCGTCGAATACATTACATGAATACTCGTAAACGTGGTATTAACACATTAATTAATATAATGTCAAGATTCGGTGCAAGAACCGAAACGGAGTCTTCGATAGCGCATAATGAAAGATTGGAGTTTTTAGGCGATGCAGTCGTTGAATTTCTTACATCAATTCATTTATTTCATATGTTTCCTGATTTAGAAGAAGGCGGTTTGGCTACTTATAGAGCAGCAATTGTTCAAAATCAACATCTTGCTGTATTAGCAAAAAAGTTAAATTTAGAAGAATATATGCTCTATGCACATGGAAGTGATCTTTGTCACGACTTAGAATTACGTCATGCAATGGCAAATTGTTTTGAAGCGTTAATGGGTTCATTATTTCTTGATGGAGGTATAGAAGTTGCAGATAGAGTATTTGGTGAAACATTGTTTAAAGATGAAGAAGATCTTGCAAAGGTTTGGGTAAATTATCCAAAACATCCTTTACAAGAACAGGAACCAACAGGTGACAGACAATGGATACCAAGTTTTGAATTATTGCAAGTAAGATATCTACATAAATATACATATATTTTATATTTTATGTATTAATAATATTTCTTATTATAGAAACTAACGAAATTTGAAGAATCTATTGGCATTGAGTTTACCCATATTCGACTTTTGGCTAGAGCATTTACCGATCGTAGTATAGGATATACGAACTTAACGTTGGGTTCCAATCAACGTTTAGAATTTTTAGGAGATACCGTGCTACAACTTATAGTTTCCGAATATTTATACAAATACTTTCCGGAACATCATGAAGGACATTTGTCTGTAAGTAGTATTATAATTTTTTTTGTCAACATGAAAAAATTCATTTTTATATTTTATAGTTATTACGGAGTTCTCTTGTAAATAATAAAACTCAAGCTGTTGTATGTGACGATTTGGGAATGACGCAATATGCACTTTACGGCAATCCAAAAGCCGAATTAAAAACAAAAGATAGAGCAGACTTATTGGAAGCATTTTTAGGAGCTCTTTATGTTGATAAAGGCTTGGAATATTGTCGTGTTTTTTGCGATGTATGTTTCTTTCCACGTTTACAGGACTTTATTATGAATCAAGATTGGAATGATCCAAAAAGTAAATTGCAACAATGTTGTCTGACATTAAGAACAATGGATGGTGGAGAGCCTGATATTCCTGTATACAAGTAAGTTCAGATCACATAAATTCATTATATATAAATATAGATATGTGTAAGTTATATTATATAATATATATAATATATATATATAAATAATATAAATAATATATATAATATATATATAAATAATATAATATATAAATTAAAGTGATTATATGTATTAATATTATATAATGAAATTGATTTAATTTTCTATTTAGAGTAATTGAATGTAAAGGACCAACAAATACAAGAGTTTATACAGTTGCTGTATATTTTCAAGGAAAACGATTAGCAAAAGCATCAGGTCATAGTATTCAAGAAGCAGAGATGAATTCAGCAAAAGAAGCTTTAGAAAAATCTCAAGGTAAGTCAAATATTTAAAAAATCAGAAATAATATAATTTTAATATTACTTTAATATTATTTTACAGATTTATTTCCACAATTAGATCATCAAAAACGTGTAATAGCAAAAAGTATGAAAATGCAACAATGGCCAAATAAAAATAAAACAAGAGGAAGATCCATGAAACCTACAGATAGACATGATGATTCTGATTCTAGTCAACGATCTAAAAGAAGTCGTAGCGAACTATAAATTACGATTAAAATTAATTCATTAGAATTGATTGAAAAATTATTTTATATTTAATAATTGTTAGTGACTCTAGTATTTTAATGAGTATAAAAAAAAATCTTTAATAATTATATTAAAGTATATAATAGTATTATACAAAAAATAATAAATATATTTATTATATTTAATAGAATTATTTTTCTCATATCTAAGATATAGCTTCTACAAAATGATTAATAGGCTTTAATGCAGCATTTTCCTGATATAATATATGTTCATTTTTATCTATGAGTTTTTGACACATTTGCATATTATGCATAATTTCTTTTAAATTCCAATATTTTGATAATAATGCTTGTTGTATATTAAACAAACCATCTTGTATACATATTATTTGAGTACAAGTAGCATTAGAACGAAGTTGTATTCCTAATTCATGAATTATAGTTTTTAGATACAAATCATATTCATTTGTACAAACAATTTCTGCAAAAATTATAAAATAAGAATATAGGATATGATATTTTTACCAATTTTTTTCATTGATTTAAAAATTTATTTTATGAAATATATTTACCTAATGTAAATTCTGGAGGTGAAAAATCTACACATTTAATTGTATATATTATAGGAATATTATTATTTGCTGGTCTAATTGGACCTTGAACTGCTAATTCATATGCAGTTTGACTTTGAATATCTACTCCACATAATCTATAAATATAAAAAAATTTAATATTATATATAATTTAATATTATATCATATATAATTATTTAATTATGTAAGTATGTTAAATTTTCACATACTCAAACATTTTTTTTTGATGAGAAGATTGCATTGAACTACATAACTTATCAATATGACCACGTTTTATATGTGTATACTTAGATTTTTCTATTATTTTTCCAGTATGAAAGTAATTATCTGTTGCTTGTCCAAATAATCCTTTTATCTTGTAAAATCTTATGCACATATATTCTTTGATTTTTTGTATCAATTGATTACCCTTATTAATTCCACAAACTAAAACACCAGATACATCTTGATTCATAATTTTTGTTGTTGCTAATTTAAAATCATTTGGTTGATAACGAGGACCTATTACTAATGGATTGTCTGCAAAACTTTTTCGAATAATAACTTTCATATCTTTATTTGTATCACCCTCTATAGCTACATATTTTCTTTGAGGTCGTACATACATGTCATTAAGATCTGAAAGCAACAAATTATATAAATTTTATCAATAAAGAGGTTTGTTCATATATATAAAAGATATATTACAACCTTTACATAAATTATTAATCAATGTTTGTCTCGTTGTATTGAAATATATATGAGGAGATTTATAAATAACAAATATTCCATTTAATGCCTTATATACTAATCTTGCATCATTTACATATTTGTAAACCGACATGTTAAATATTTTATCGAATATAATAATACACTGTAATAATATAAACTTCGTTTATAACAACAATTTTTGATTAATTTTTAATTTTTATAAAATACATTATAAGATATAAGGTTATATATTGATATAAATATAAATTGTATTTTTTATTTCTTTTAGTTATTTTTGTGATATTTTATATTTAAAATTTAAACATATTTTCTATATAATTCACAAATGATCAGTTTTTTGATAAAAATCATTTGATCTATATAATTTCTCGATTTATTAATTTTTATAAAATACACTATAGATATAAGATATAAGGTTATATATTGATATAAATATGAATTATATTTTTTATTTCTTTTATTTAATTTGTAAAATTTTATATTTAAAATTTAAACATATTTTCTATATAATCAATTTTTTGATAAAAATCATTTGATTTGTATAATTTTTGCCTTTTTTAATCTTTACAGAGCTGTCCTCTAACGGCAAAAATAAGAAAAAGTCAGCCATATTTGTACAAGAAGGACATCTATTATAATTTTATAAATGGCTGAAAGTTTAAAGAATTTTGGAAGTGTAGTGTTCAACAACCGGCATATAATTTTTAAAAGTATGTAAAAACTAAATAACAATATTTGTATCTATTGTGATATAATATTTAAAAAATAATTAATTTCTTATTTTCAAAGATAATTTTGATATAATTTGCATTGATAGAACGTAGACATTAAATTAACTGATAGGTTATTGCATTTATTTTTTCAGCGATATTCTCAAATACTAAACAATTTGTCACGATGTCCGAATCATTAAATAAAGTACCCGATGTGGATATTGATGGCCACGGAAGATTTAAATATATCTTAATCAACGTTTTTGACGAAGCTAATAACGTTAGCAAATCTATTGTCAGAGGTTATGCTAGAGCTCAATGGCATAGTGAGTAATCATGTCAAACTTTTTATTTAATTTTTATATATTTTTACATTAAAACAATTATTTTGGTTTAAAATATTACATAAAATAATCTTATGATATATTTTTTTTTATAAGAAAATAATTAAATGCATGCTTATCTTAAACAAAAATTTTATTTAATAGTAAATTATTTAGTAGGTTTATAAGATTTTGAGGTTTATAGGCTAGATTTTCACATATATTCTTGTACAATTATATTTATATAATTTATTATTTACATTAATAATGATGTAGTTTGTACAGCTTTACATATATATGTATATATATATATATATATATATATACATATCTGTACATTTACAGTAAAATTCATAAATTAGGCATTAATTACTTACATGCCTTTAAATTAAATTATATTATTAAGGTACAATGACTCTTGTAGTATTTATTTAATTATATGGAACATTTATTTCACAATGAATAAGAAGCTTTACAATACGAAACATTTTTTGCCTAAAAAAATAGATTTGAGATATTTTTTATAGATTGACTTTTTGTGATTGGTATCACACGCGTAGATGAATCAATTTTACAATGTGTCATTCAATAATTATATTGTTTAATAATTGTCAGTTTGCATATAATGCATATAATGAAAGGGCAGTACGATTTCATTTATAAGAATAGCTCAGATAGGAACTGCACAAATAGTAATTTATTCTCAATGGTGAAAATCGTCTCTAAATTGATTTTTATATATAAAAAAAATTTCAAATTTGATAATCCAAAATTATTAAATTATATTTATCGATATCACAAATAATAAATTGTAGAATTGTAGAATAAAGAATGAAATAACTTTTTTATTTTTTTTCTATAATGAAAGCAAAAAAAAAAAAAAATTATATTTCAAATTTTGGATTTCAAATTTAAACTTCAATAAATACTTTTGACATCTGAAATACACAATTCTTAAAAATTTCAATCAATTATATATGGAGAGGCGATTTTCTTTTCAATAGAAAAGAAACATTATGGTCAAAGTCATGTTTCTTTTCTTTTTACGTTACTAAGAGGCTCTTCTGAAACAACACCAAGCTCTTTGTATACTGAAACCCAATTTACAGTTCTTGTGATTGGAATTCTTCACGGTTCTTGCACCATTATTGTTCTTCACCGATGATCGCGATGATACGTCGGTCGTTTGCACCTGCTCTCAGGTGCTGTCGCTTTCCTCGTAGTGTTCTATCAGATCCACGTCAATATCTTTCGTCTCTTTCAATTTCTCTTTAATCGGTTCCAATTTGCTTCCTTTGTATTTGTGCCCATTGTTATCCTCCTGTCTCTCAATATTTTCCATCTTTTCCTCGTTCATTTTCGCTACAATTTTTGCCTCTCTGGTAGGAGATGGAAAGCCTACTAAATCCGGATCAGTATTGCTATGCATTAACGTGAATGGTAGTTTAAGCGATACATCCCCACCCATTGTTGAGATTAATAGCTTGACCTGTGAGGATGAAAGGATAAATAGAAGCAAATATAATTAATTTCGAGTCGAGAATTAATTAGCATTATTAATTTTACATTTATTACAATTATTAATTATTTAATTTAAACATTTTTTCAATGTACTTTCTTTAATAATCTATTTTGAATATATAAAAGAAAATTGTACGAATATTTTATATATTTAATAAGCATTCTTCATGTTTTAATTAATTAGATTCAAACTTTGAAATTTACACGAATTTTTCCCGATATAATAAAATAGTAAAATCTTTTTCTACAATCCTTTTTCCTAATTTGGAAAAATCCTCCTATCCTATTTTATCCATATAAATTCCTCGTAATTTATTTTATTATCAAAAAAAAAAAAAAATAGATTCATTTATTAGAATTATTTTGCTCGAGAAAGAAGAAATTCTCTGTCTTCGTAAAGACAGTTTACCTTCACGTAATAAGAAACGTATATCGCGAAAACGTTTCTGTCCTCTGGACCATTTCCAGGGCAAATAACAGTAGATGCCAACATTGCCTCAGCCTTCGTATAACTATCCTCCAAGGCGATCCAATTTTTGGTCGAGCCTTTGATAGGTTTAAGGGTATAAGTTTTCTTCATCGATGCTCCAGGACCTAATGGACATCCCTCCTGCGACGATAACAAGGCCACCACGTTCTTGAATTTTCCGTTGCTGAACATACATACGTCCACGTGTTGCACTATGAAAACCTGCAATCCATATAGATTTAATTAGTGAATAATCGCGTGAAATTTCACAATGGAAAAATTTTTAAGTAGAGATGAATGATTCCAAAGAATGCTTATTCTTTCCTTTCTTTTTTTTAAATTTGATTTTTCTTTCATAATCAGACAAACTGTTCGTAGAGAATTACATTTTATTTCTTCCTTTTATTTTCCCCCTTTTATTATTTGGTTAAAGTTTCGTGTATAAAAATAGCGAAAAAGTTTCATCGTCTATCAATGGTCTCGATCAAACTGTTAACTTTAAATTATAATAGGATTCCAGCTTTAGGCGAGGATTAATGCACGAGAACGATGTGTGCGTTTCGACCGAGTAAATTCTATGCGAGATGAAACGCATAATCCCTGCATTGTTTCATTCTCGATATCTTCATTTCATACATTTTTGCCCTTTTGCAAACCTTTGTTCTTTTAAAATAAAGGAGAAACGTGTTCGATCATTACATCGATAATTTATAATAGAATTCGCTCGAAGAACGAACACGAGCACCCGTTTTAACTCTCTCGTCCCACGTTGCATCGTCGTGTCAATTTGTTTGTTGGAACAAAGTTAACAGAGAGACCTGTACGAAATCATCGTACATACGTTAGCCACCACCAGTATCGAAATCGAGGCTCCCAATAAACACGTACATACACACACACACACACATAGATACACAATGTTCGCCACAATTCGCTAATGAACCGTAAAGTAAATGCAATTGACACGAAACGTGGTCGCTTTATGCTCTCAAGTCCTTTACTCGTTTAAGGAAGTTCCATATCCATCGTTCGAATTACGTTTACGTCTCATCGCTGTCTCACTTTTAGGGAAGGAATTTTAATTTTCGATCCTTTCTTTTTCTAGAATAGAAAATCTTTTGTCCTATGATTTATCCCTCTTTTTTTTTTTTTGTCGAAAGACAAAAGGACTCGTTCGTTTTTAGTTCCGAGAGAGACGAAAAGACTTCTTTCTCGAATGAATTGTATAGGAGATAAAAGGTGCAGTAGAACGGATAAATACGCGGTCGGACGTGCCATTTGACCGCTTATTCGTCGAGTAAAAGAAACAGGATTTTTATTACAGGAAGCGAACTTGTATTAAAATTTTATTATCTTATCTTGCGTTGAATAATATTGTTCGTCATTTCTACTATTTTTTTTTTTTTTTAATAAAATATCATCAAATATCCTTTAGCATATTTCTTATTATCAGAAAATTCGTTGCAAACGATCCCTTCATTCGTCGAATCACGACGAACGCGCGAATTTGTTTGGCCGTAATCAAGATTTTTGTTTGCGACATTTAATCGAATTTCGTAAAGGGAAAGATAAATTCGGGGCTTTTAATTAAGTTCTTTCCACGTTTCCTTTATCAGGACATTTTTCTGTTTTTTTTTTTTTTTTAAATATTATTTTATTCGGAATTAAATTATTAAAAACTTTCCTCGTGAGACGCGAATATTTTGAAATCAAATTAAAAAGTTTGTTGTTCCGAATGTTTACGATAGATTGGCTAGATTTCATACATGTGTGTTTCTATAAATTGAATTTTGGTATTAATATTCTCCGAAAATGTGGTTGATTTAAATTACCGCGATTCTTTAAATCGTGAAAATAATTTTTCTGTTGTTCAAAAGCGAGTATGGAGTAGATATTCGGGAAAAAGCAGAAAAATATAATTTTAATTATAATTACGATATTATAAAATTAAAATTACACGAAAAGTATTATTAGAAAAATTAATTTTAATTCGATAAAGGAATTCTTTTACAAATTCTGCATCGAAGATGATTGGAAATTAATAGTTTAAAATTTTTCAAGTTCTCTAAACGATAGTTTCATTTTCATCTTTAATCTAGAGAACCTTACATTTTTCAAAAAAAAAAAAAAAAATTGGCTGTTAATTTTATCGTAGAATAATTAAATTTCTTTTTTTTTTTCTTTTGTGCGCGTTAAAAACTTGTCTACAATTGTAATAATACGAAATGCTAAGGTATTTTTAGTAGAATAGGAAAGGAGACGATCTCTGTTGTCCCTTCAATTTCGTAGCTTGCATTTTACACGAGTTTCATTCTTATTCTCCCTCGCTACACTTTCTCATAATTTTGCTCGAACTAGAATGACAATCAGACGTGCTCACTCTTTCCGTACTTTTCCCCCTTAATCCTTTCTTCTAGTTTGATGAAATTTTCAAAGTTTAATTGAAAAAAAAAAAAAATCAATATTAACTTATATTAATTTTCAACTTCAAAAAAATTTAAAAGAGTTTTGCTTAATTTCATTATTTTTCCTTCGAATAAAAAAATTATTATTATTATAATTCAAATCATTCTTCTTCTTCCATATTCATTCATCTTTTCGTATTTCTACTTTCGTTTCAATAATTAAAATCTAAAAGTTTTATTTCATTTTTCGTAACATACTCTTCAATCGTGATGAAATAAAAGAATAAGTAATAATAACTCGATGAGTCCAGTCTACTTTCTTTTACTTTTTCGAATCGATCCTTTTTTTTTTTATTATCCTCTTTTTTTTATTATATAATCTCAATGAATTTTTGCCAAAATAGAACGAGCAAATACACGATCAGGCTCGATCAGATCTCCAAATAATTTATTCAAATATAACGAAACTTTTCACTTTCCATTTGCCTAATTGCTTCACCCCAAATGATAAAAATACGAATTTCATTCCTTTCCTCGTCGTTCAGTCGCTATCACTGTAGCTTTATTAACGAAACAATTTCATATGCAATTTCATATACGTATATTTTCACCGGATAATGCGAAATTTTCATCCTCGACGAATTTACCCTGACCTGATATTTAAATCACGATATCAACGAGATAATCGCATACATTTGATCAAACAGTTGAATACAAATTACCTCCCCCTCCACTTATTATCAATCGAAATCAAGGAGCGTACGGATCTAAAAATCTCTTAGCAAATTGCTTCTCGAGGACGATCATCATCCTCTCATTCCTTTTTATTAACGTTTCGTTTCAAATAACGATTATGTTATGTGATCGATTATCGATATATCGAAGTATTACCTTGATCCTTCTCACCGTCTTGCTGCTGTTGTTATTCACGTTCACGTGAACGGTGATCGGGTCGCCGTGCGCGTAGATCGCGCGATCCAGCCTCGCCTCCAACCCTACGCGGCCGTCGCTCAACAAGAACGGCTTCTCCACAGCCGCGCGGGGGCCCGTGTTCTCTGAAACGATTGGAAAAATTGATGGAATTTAATTAATTTAATTAATAATTTAATTGATTTGTGGAGTTCAATTTTTACATAATGCTACGAGCGATTTCTTCGCCGCGGTAAAAATGCGCACAACCCTCGAGAAGGATCAATAAGGTCGTGTTTTTTTTGGTTTTATTATTGTATTATTATATTTTATTGTGTATCTCCTCTCACGAGGAAGCTCGTGTCGAGCAACGAGTGAAAGAATATCGATGCTATTTGCAAGAGAAAGGTACTGAGGATGTGTACAATAATTCCAATTATATTTACAATACGCATTTTATGTATTATTATGTATTATTATAGTAGAAAGGGTTAAGGATTAAGGGTTAATTATTATAGTAGAAAGGGTTAACGATGTAAAAAAAGATTATGTAAATAGGAATAAGAATGGTAACTTCTTCTATTTTTTATGGCTTGTATTTTGGAGTTTGTTAAAAATTTATTTATAAATTTTCTCGTTTATCGATAAATAAATTGCAAACGTGGAAATAGATTTATCAATGTTGCCAAACTTTTGCCTCGTTCGCTAGTCGATTTCGTTAATAGTTTTTCGTCTAATTGCGCGCAGAGGGAATTCTCGTAGTGGGCTAGGATTTAAAACGGTGTTTCAAACACGGTTGAAAATTACTCTCCACGACCGAAAAAACGAAGAAGAGAGTCGCAATGGTGAAAATTGTATCAAATCAATTGGAACTCTTGATCAAAAGTTTCTCGAATTATATCCTTAAATCCATCGATCTCCATCAATTCGAAGATCGAATCTAATATTTAATAATATTATATTATACATTATAAAATTTTATAATAATAATTGGAACTCTTGATCAAAAGTTTCTCGAATTATATCCTTAAATCCATTCGAAGATCTAATATTTAATAATATTATATTATATATTATAAAATTTTATAATAATAATTGGAACTCTTGATTAAAAGTTTCTCGAATTAAATCCATTCGAAGATCGAATCTAATATTTAATAATATTATATTATATATTATAAAATTTTATAATAATAATTGGAACTCTTGATCAAAAGTTTCTCAAATTAAATCCTTAAATCCATCGATCTCTATCAATTCGAATCTAATATAACACGCTTCAAAAAAGGATCTATCCAAATCATCATATCCACCCTTGTATCTAAGCAAATGATGCACGAATAACGAAGCTTACCCTCGTCCTCCGTGATCTCGTGATTCTCCACGAACGAGACTCTAGCTTTGCAAGATTGATCTCTGGAAAGACTAGCCGACACTGGCACGCTGTACGTGTTCGTGGCTGGCAATGGCGGTTTCGTGGTCCGCTGGATCACACGGATCCCCATCCTGACGGTCGTTTTCCGGTGCAGCTTCTCGTCCGCCCGATCGGCTAAAATTTCATCGTCTCGGTTAGATGGAATTATTTATCATTAATTTGATGCTAAACTTCCCTTCTAGATTATCGTAATTCCAAAATTGTTGTTCGTTAGTTTGAAAGTTGAATTAAGTTGCTATCGGATTAAGTATAGAAATCGTTTGTTGGAGAGGAAAAACAAGAGCGATCAGGGGATTGCAAGAGATTCAAATCCATTCTGAAAGTATCTCGATGAACAAAGGGTGATGAATTCGTGTTTTTTACATTTCAATTCGAATCCTCATCAATAGAATCATAGTGATCAATAGAAGATGCAGTATAAATAGTTCTTCTATAGATTCTTCATTTTTTGAGAGGAAGTTGGGTATTTTGTGTTAATTCGAAAGTTTCTCTCCCTTTTTGCATAAAGATTATTTTTTAACAATAACGTTCGTTATTTTCTTTATTCATCTCTAAATTGTTAAAGAATAAAAGAGATATCGATCGAAATATTATAGTATACAGTTACATCTTTAGCATAAAATCTTTGTTAGAACGAACTTATTAACGATAAATTATGTTATTTTTAATATTTCATAATAGACGTCTCTCTCTCCTATATTTTTCTCGCAAAATCTTCTCTTTAAAGCTTCGAGCTTTTTTTCCGATTTAAATAAAGAAAAAAAGAAGACACATTAATCGATCATCATTCGTTACATTCAATCGTTTCTTCTTTCCACGATATTAATCCGTCCAATCCGCGTAAATCGAGTGTAATTTCAAATTCCCTCACCGATGTATGCTCTGACGTCGTAGCTGGTACCGATAGGGGCGCCATTATATTCTTTCGCGGGCACCAATTGCACCGATGGGGGTGCCAAAGGTGTGATCTCCATGGTGAAAGCGTGGGCGTTCGGGCCTAACCTTTTCACCAACGCCTCCTGCAAAATAAAACGAATAATCGAATAATCATCTCGACCGTCGTAATTTCAATTTGATTTTTCGAGGGAAAGGAGTAAAATTATACATTCGAGTGGAAAAAAATTAAATACGTGAAAAAAGAAAAAAAGAAAGTCAATTTGATTCCAAAGAAAACGAGAAGATTCATTCATGATCGATATTGCCAATTAATCGATACGAGCCAATATTCGAGATTAAATGGCTTGATAAATTTTATATTTCTATTCCTCGTTTCGTTCTCATTCAGATTTCACACGGCTTATTACAGATTATTACAGATTATTACGGATCAATCCCCAGAAATTTGTGCTTTGTCCGATTGATAAATTATATCGATATCGAACGTTGATTCTGCTCAAAATGATAATTAATTAATAGATATTTCGGAGGTTTAACGAAATCCTGGGAGGGGAGATATTTCGATATTCGAGAATCGATTCTCATACGTTACGTATTGCATCTTACCTTTACCCTTATTGTTACGACCAAGTTGAAAACTCATGCTTCTATTTATAAGTACATAGATACCTTCGATGTTATCATCGATAATGAAAGTTACGATATGAAACTAATAAAATTCGATAATGTACACAGATATAATAATTTCGAAGAATAATTTCGTTATTTTCACCCCTTTAACGTTTAATAGCTCGAGATATGGATGCAATATCGATACAAGCATTAAGTTTAACATAAGACGAGCTAAAAAAGGTAGTAAGTAAAGTATCGTAAAATCGATATTTCGAGGGAGAAAAAAAAAAAAAAGAAAAGAAAAGAATAAATATCGATCGATCCTATCTCACGTGAAATTTCTCTTTAAAATTTCACTTCCCTCTCCCTTCCTTCCACTTTTCCACGCTCCTTTATGCATTCATTCTTTGAGAGAAACTGTCGAGCTGCGCTTTTTCCACGCAATGGCGCCTAACCCTCCTCCCCCCCGCATCTCTCCTCCTCCATTTTTTTCTCCGCTCGATTTCTTCCTTTTTTCTTTAGAAACTTTTTCCCTTTTTTTCTTTCTCTCTCTCTCTTTCTCTTTCTCTCTCTCTTTTTACCCATTCGCCGTGAAACTCGCTCACTTTCCTTTCGCATGCACGATCATTGCCGCCTTTGAAATCTGCGTGGAATCGGTAACATTTGTAGCCTACCGTGAAAACCGCATTATCGACTGCGTCCGAGTTTCAAGCCTCCGTCCACTCGAGTAATTTCCTAACGATACGATAGAGGGAGGGACGATGACGGTGGAACGATCTTTTCGCGAAATGGTCGCATTTGGCGAATTCGTGCAATTTTAAACGAACGGTGTGCACTCGCATGCATTATTTATCACCTGTATGACTGTATCGTGATTTTCTGTCTGCACGATGAAACAGAATTCGAAGGGGAGAATTTGTTAGGAGTTAAATCGTATTAAAAAAAAGTAATTAGAATTTATAATTAATAAGCGGATACTAGTAGTAGATAATTCGAAGTTAATCGAGAAAGAGTGTTCCTCTCGAATAAAAGGATTTTATTTCGTTCTTTTTTTTTTTTCTTTACCTTCATAAATCTTCAAAAAAAAGAGATTTTTTTTATTCTTCTAATCTTATGATTTGAAGAATGAATCTTATAATTTTTTAATAGTAGAAAATACGATAAGGGGCGAAGATTGTAACGTTTAAGAAAATAATTGAGAAAAATTGGCATTTTTGATTATATTATCGAACGATAATGCTTAGTATGGTGTAAAAAATCGTGGAAATTCTCTCTCACACTCGTATATTTCTTCATTTCCCTGTCCTACATCCTTTTTACATAACGTTGAACGCGATGTTGAAGAAAAAAGGTTGTAGGTGTCTAGTCTCGAAACTATTTATCATAATTTTTCGTATTACCCTTCTCTTTTCCCTTCATTCGTATAAAGGCAAACACGTGTTAACCTTCCATTTATTTTTTTCCTCATCGAGGATAATAAAATTTTTCAATTCTTAATCAAGTGGGACGCGAAATTTCTGATTGTAGGATCCTAAGCCTTTATAATAGTTTGTCATTATTATTCAGAGATAATTACTTCTATTAAATCATGATTAATTTACTACTAAAATGAATTTATCTATAAAACGTGTAACTTGCATATCTAATTATATAGGGTGTCTCAATTATCACTCACTCGAATGATGAAACACTTTCTTAAGGGAATCGTAAGGGATTTAAATGGTTTCGATAAAATAATAAAAATTTCAGCAATCGTATCTCTGAGAATAAATTCGTAGAATTGCAACTTTTTCTTCATCCTTGTGAAAAAAAAGAAAAAAAAGCTTTGTGAAATAGATTGGTTTCAAAAAATGGTAATTTGTTAATGCATTAGTTTCGAAAAGGTTTCATCATAACAAATTTCGTATTTCGAAACGAATATTCGAGGGATTAACAGATAAAGGCGTATTAAAGGAGAAGGGATTGGAGAAAGTTCACTGGCTGGAATGAAATTATGATCGATTACCATCTCTAAAAGAATGCCTATAATAACTTCCCATTTGCGCTCTTTGATACTAATTTTTACCTCTGGTTTCGTCCCTCGAGAAAGAAAGAGCTTTCATCAATTCGGGTGACGTTTCCAATTTCCCTGGAAAATTTCATCCGTTGTCTCGGCAAAATTAATTTCGTAATTGTTTTCCACGATGAAAAAGATATTTTTTTCACCATATGAAAAGTGAAATTTCGAATAAAACGTGTACAATATTTGTTGAATATCTTTATCTCGATGACTTATATCATAAAATATTTTCTAAATCAAACATATTTACGTATTTAGGAAATTAAAATAATTTTCCAATAAATTTATCATTTTCCAAATTTTTTCCAACATTAAAAAATTTGTTACGAACAAAAACTTAAATTATCTCTTTAAACTAACTTATTTATTAATAAAATTTACCAATTTCCACAGCATTTTAAAAATGCTTTAAAATTTCTTCTTCGATTAACTTACATTATTCGAAAGAATTCATTAGAAAATTTTTTTTTCTAAACCTTCTTTCACCTCTCCTTGCATCTATTTTCTCCTCCATTAATCCCCTAAACTAACTAAAACTAATTAATTTTATTTGAAAGAAAAAAAAAAAGGAAAAAGAAAAAAGCCACGAAAATTGGTCGAATATAATTCAATTTGCCACTCAATAACGCGGAGCGCAACAACGGCCGTGACCAAAAATATTCTCCTTGACTTCGATAGGAGGATCCCCGTGAAATTTCTAATCGATATTCTCTTCGAGCTAATTAAATAACTTTTACCAAGAGTTCACGAGAGATCTATTATCGTTTATTTGTACGTAGATCGAACATGGCGATAGAGTTGTATCTCTCGTGTTCAACCACGATATTTCACAGAAATTCAAACTCATATCCCATTTGTCTTAATATTTCTCCGTTTCTTGGTTGGTCCATAAATCTCTTGGTTATTACGGAGGAGGATCGTGGCAATTTTTTCTCTTTTTCTCTCTCTCTCTTTCTTCAACGATTTTATAACAGCAACAATTTTCGAGCAGACATTTTAGATGCATTAAATATTTGCACAACACGTATGAGGTTCAAGTTGAAAATAAATAGTGAAAAGAATCGGGGAGGAAAAATCTGTGAGAGTGAATTAAAATTTCTGTAAGATGATCTGCGAATTTGATTTATACATTTTTATACGACACGGATTGATGGATTTGTCGATATCAATTTCTAGCAATTTTTGGTAAAAAAAAAAAAAAAAAAAAAAATAGTTATCGATCTTCTGTCGGTGGGGATACTTAAATATTTTTTTTTTTTTTTTTTTTTTTTTTTATTTTATTTATTTTTGATCGAACACTTGATAACTCGATACACATTTCACCGTTACTGAGGATTATTTTTATTGAAATTATTTATTTTTTTATTTTTCATCCAAGTTCGATACTTATATGCATATATTAATGCATCGATATTTTTCACATTTTCACATTTTTATTTACATCCACGTTTTTCTCCACATATAATAATAATGTAATTTAATTTTCTTGTATTATCTCTCGTCATTAGTAACAAATTTAATATTCTTTTCTTTTGAACGAAGTAACTCAAAACAATATTTGATTGTTTTAATAAAAATCATTCTCTACGTTTCTCGTGTTCGTACAATGTGTCCGGAATATACGATTATATTATTCGAGCCTTTCAAAAACATCTCGTCGCTTTAGAGAAGAAAAATATTTAACTCATCGATTACGTTTCAAAAACATTCCCTTTCGTTTCGAAAATTATTTGCAGTGAACTCTTCTCGCGCACGAGAAATCCGATAAGGCAAATTCATATCTCGAAAAATCACATCATATTTTTCATTTCGCGCTCCCCTTTTTACGCAACCCGATCGAGAATCAACGGAAAGCTGTTGCTCGTTTTCGAGATATATCTTCAAAAAATATCTCTTAATAAAAAAAGAAAAATAAAAAAAAAGCCTTCGAAACATTTGTTTCCTTTCTCTCTCTATTTTTTTTTTTATTAACGATTCTTTCGAAATCCGTGGAAAATCATTGTAATATTTTGAATTGTTCCGAAAATATTATCTTCTTTCGAAGATAATATTTTTTTTGAGTTTTTTTTTTAATCGACCATCGAATAATCGATCTTCTTCTTCTTCTTCTTTTTTTCACAAAGATGATTTAAAAGACATGCAATCGAATAAATAAAAATTGATTAATTCATTAAAAAAAAGACATCTTCTATTTTTCTCTCAACAATTTTTGCATAATGCAATTGAAAGAACTCCGAGAGAAGATAATCTCGCGCTATCTTATTAATTAAGACACATTCTAATTTTCAAAGATTTTCGAGAAATTGGAATGGAAAAGTTTTTAAAAAAGATTTTTCAACTATATAATTCAGAATTTTCATAGACTCCAAACTCGTTACCCCAATAATATCTAACTAATATTAACTTTAGAAGAAGGCTAGTTTGCTGAATTAATTCATTTCGATAACGTTC